GTACATACATACATACATATATACATATGTATACTGTACATACATACATACATACACACAAACACACACACACTTAAAGTACTTATTTTAAGTGCTCATTCTTAAAGGGCATGTTCACATGACTTACTGCCCCCCTAATCTAGCCAGATTTTCACCTAGTATGTTAGGTGAATCTAGTCCAAGTAGTTTATGGATTCAGTGTGAAGTGGAAATTCAGAATAAATATATGAAGATAATCTTGTCTCTGTCCCTCCCAATGTTGTAGTTGATATCAGTAGTATATTGGAGCTGATGGAATTTTTTTCCTTTTGCAAAAAAGGGGGGGGGATTTTCAGGAGGCATCTTCAAGTTCAGAGTTAGGAAAAGGACACTGATAAGAGTTCCCTCCTGGCCCAAATGAGAAACAAACCAGGATGCTTTGCAAAAAAAAATCATTTTGGCCTGGATCGGGTGACTAATTATACTGGAATTTGCTTCCTGGAACCTTTGCTTCCTGGAATTTTTCCCTCTCCTTCTGAGAAAGAGCAGGAGAGGTCCTAAGTGTTGTTTTTACTAATGTGTGATTCACATTAATCAGTTTTCTGCATCCATTCAACACTTTAAAGTAGACACTAGTGGCTGTGGTTAGGTTTGCAGGGTACTCTTGGCCAAAATGTGGTTGGCTTTGTTGTAAATTCCTTGTGGTGCGGAAATGCAGAGATTGAAATTATTCTACATAATTGAAATTATTCCACAGGCTGCAGCCTTCGCCTCCGTGGTAAGGAGTAATATTTCCTTCCAGATGCAAAAAAATGTTTGCATCTTTTTGCGTTCATAGAGCTTGTTAAACCAGACTGGTTTGCTCAAGAAACCCAGTTGCTGGGATCAGTTCACACTGAACAGTATCTTACAACTGGGCCACAGACCAGCCAACTCTATCTGCAAACTTGTATATGAGACAAGAAGACCCTTAAGGATGCTTGAAATGGGATATGGTGGCTCAGTGGCTAAGACGCTGAACTTATTGATCAGAAAGGTTGACAGTTCGGCAGTTCAAATCCCTAGCATAATGGAGTGTGCTCCCATTACTTGTCCCAGCATCTGCCAACCCAGCAGTTCGAAAGCACGTAGAAAATGCAAGTAGAAAAATAGGAACCACCTTTAGTGGGAAGGTAACAGCGTTCCGTGCGCCTTCGGTGTTGAGTCATGCCGGCCTCATGATCACGGAAACATCTTCAGACAGTGCTGGCTCTTCGGCTTTGAAACAGAAGAGCACCGCCCCCTAGAGTGGCAAACGATAGCACATATGTGCGAGGGGAACCTTTACCTTTACCTGTAGGATGCTCGATGCGGATAGAAAGAAAATGACATATGAACTGTGGAGTAATGTTTTAAATGGAAAACTCCTTTATCGATAAAGGTTAAAGATGTAGGATTTTATTTAACCAACAATGCATTATTGTTAGAAAATGACAGGTGATTAAAGCTGTTCAAAATTCAGCATCCCGGTTTGAAAGGCCCAAAACAGAAGGGATTGTGGCTATGCTGAGTGATGTGTGAAGAGGGGCTGGAAACCACAAAGGTAATATAAAACGGATATTTTTTCTGAATGTCAAATTTGCTTGCAGGTTATCATGGCCAAGCTGTGCCCAAAGGAAATGCTTGGAACCGAATCATTGTGCATCTGGACTTGGACTGTTTTTATGCCCAGGTAGAAATGATCTGCAATCCTGAATTAAGAAGCAAACCTTTAGGTAATTTCCCCCCCCCTCCGCCCCCCAAAAAGTAGGTGGAAATGTTTGTGAGTCTTATAAACCAAATCCAGGCCTCTTGAATCTCCTGCACATTCCGCTTTTGCCCTCCCTGGCCCCCACACGCACTCTGGGACCCGCAGTGGGTTTGGAAGGCGAAAAATGGGACTTGTGGAGGGTTTGCAAAGCCAAAAAATGGTACCATATTTTTCGGACTATAAGATGCACTCCCTGCCCCCCCAAAAAGTGGGTGGAAATATCTGTGCATCTTATAGACCGAATACGGGCCTATTTTTGGCGTCCTGAACCCTCTGTGCGTCCTGTTTTTGACCTCCTGGCCCCCAGAAGCACTCTGCAGGACAAAAAAGGCCAATTTTTGGTGAAAATAGAATGAGTGGAGTGTTCAGAAGGCCCAAAATGGGACCCGCGGAGGGTTTGGGAGGCCAAAAACGATACTGTATTTTTCAAACTGTAAGATACATTTTCCACCCACCAAAAAAAGTGGGTGGAAATGTCTGTGCGTTGTATAGAACGAATACGGGCCTGTTTTTGGCCTCCTGAATCCTCTGCATCCCGTTTTTGCCTGCCCCATCCCCGCAGAAGCACTCTGCAGGTGAAAATGGGCCCATTTTTGGTGAAAATGGGATGGGAGTGTTTGGAAGACCAAAACGGGGCCCATTTTTGCAAAAACTGGATGCATTGAGGATTCGGGAGTGCTTCTGGGGACCGGGCAGGATGAAAACAGGACACGCAGAAGCCAAAATCTATTTTTTTTCTGCTTTTCATCCTCTAAATCTAGGTCTTATAGTCCGGTGTGTCTTATAGTCTGAAAAATACGGTATTTTGTTTTCTGTCATAATCAAGATGATAGTGTTTCTTGTGGTGGTTTAGCAGTTCTCATTGGCTTAGTTAACCATTGGGGCAGGGCTCACTCAGGATGCTAATCCATAACGTGGTTTCTTTGGTTCTGGCTTCATATGTGATCCGGTCAACAGTTTAGGATTTAGAGTGCTGTATGAATCTACTCCGTTGTTGCTCATTTAGTAAAAATCTGGTCAACACATAATAATAGAGTATGTTGTGTGAGTTAAGTGTTGGCTATAATACCTCAGTTACTTGATTTGGAATGTCAACTGGATTCAGAAAACCAAGTCAACCGAATAAGATGCTTCAAACCAACTTGAGGGGATTAAATATTATGGATGTTTAGCTAAAACAGGATATGAGGATTTGATGTTAATAGAGGATTTTACAAACAAGTAAA